TGAAAAATCGAACTATATCTCTTTACTTTTATGGGCCCCATCTTAGCAGAGAAAAACAGTCCTTGCTTCACAGTCGTGTCTTATTCATGTAATCAATTTTTGGTGGTGCATACCAAATAGTGAGTAACAATTTTCAAGGATGAAATACAGGAACAACAAAATGTCATGAACAATCTCTGATGAACTCACTGAGAATTGAAGCCACTGCCATCAAACCAGCCTGATATGCTAGTTTCACAAAAACAAAGTCAAATATTCCACTAGTTCTGTATTTTTATTGCTGTCTTTTTTCTGTTTCAATAAAAAATGTTGAAGATTAATTATAAAGCATGGTGTCAAAGGTGGATGTTGGTGGTATGGCAGTAGAGGTTGAATAATCACACCAATATTCCATTACATTTTCTTGCCCTATAATGGGTGGCAGCGGAGAAGTACTGACAAAATGGCATCTGATGTGAAAGTGTGTAAGAAGTAAAAGTATGCCACTGAATTCCTCTGTGCAGAAGAAATTGGCACCCATTTGCTGAACATTTATGGAGACCAAGCAGTGAATGTGAGCACGGTGAGGTTGCGGATGGTGCATTTCAGCAGTGGCAACAGTGATGTGGAAGGCAAGCCATGTGTCAAACATTCATGCAGCTTTTTACAAGTCTGACATGCAGATTCTTGTTCATCGGTGATGAAAATCCATAGCTAGTGGTGGTGACTCTGTTGAAAAATAGTGTTTTGTAGCTAGAATTTGCTCTATCAAATACTGTTATTGTGCTCTTTGTAGGTGTTGTAGTTTCCATGGCAACAAATAGGTGGTATTACTTTTGGAGAGTGTATAGTGTGTACATTACAATAGTAGTAAAAGTTAGAAAGTAGGTGTGAATCAAGAAGAAATGGAGAATTAATTATTTTTATTTGATTGTAATTTTGATTTTTTTTCTGAATATAATTTATTTTCTGCCTTTGTGTGGATGTGAATAGTAAACCCTAGCCTCTGTGTTGTCTTCTAGAAACTCATTAAGGTAGTAAAGGAATACGTAAGAAAAGTAAAATATACTTTATTCTGTTGCTTAATGAATAAATCAAATTTGCTTGTTGAAATATGTGTCACATTTCAAGAGAGAGAAAAAGTATTTCAAATACTTGCTGATATCACTGCAGCAACATTGGGTCTCCTCCATTGGTGCTGATTTTGAGTGCAGCAGGCTGGTTTTTGTAGCTGGGAAAAATGAATAGTTAATGGTGGTGACTGTTTTGGAAAATAGTGTTTGGTAGATGAGATCGTTATTAAGTAGCGTTGTCATGCTCTTTATATCTGTTATAGTTTACATGAAAATGAATAGGAGGCATTACTTTTGGGTCAACCTTTGTGTATGCTGCCCAAGATAATTTCTGCTTGCTCAGTGTGTCCCAGGAAAGCCAAAAGGTTGGATGCTCATGTCAGCTGACTGATGCCCAGCTAGTTTCAAGCAGCAGCAGCTCCCCCCTGAGCCAGCTTCCCTGGTTTTATTTTTCAGCACATCAGGATATGTTATGGACATCCCTTTGGCCAGTTGTCCTGTTTCTTTTCCCTTCCAGCTCCTTTTGCCCCCCCCCCCAACTCTCCCCATCTGCTCTTGGCTGGTAGGACAGCATGATGAGCTGAAACGTCCTTGACTTAGTGTAAGCACTGCTCAACCATGACTGAAATGTCAGTACACTAGTGCTCTCAATGTTATTCTCATCCTGAATCCAAAGCACAGCACCACACCAGCTACAAGGAAGAAAATTAACTCTATCCCAACTGAAACCAGGGTATTCTCCCTCACAGCAAGCCTTTGTTAACAAACAAGTTGCTGAGCAGCATGTTTTACAGATATTTATCAATACATCCATCACTGAAAATAGTAAAATACTAACACTTTCAAGACCATACTTGGGTTGCTTCCAAATTTCAACATGCCTGTTGAGTGAGAAAGGGAATGTATCTACTCACCATGACTCACTTGAGCAGCCCAGTCATATCAAGACTTCAGCAACCTCATGCACATCTGCTATCCGTGAGTTTCTTTGTCGTGTGTACTCCTTATATGGCTTCTTACTTTCTAATGTAACAACAGATTAATTGGTATGGAGAGTGTTGGCTGCCAGATAGTAATTACTTTTTTCTTCTGAGATTAATGGCAGATGTGCTTTTGTCTGACTTACAAGTACAGTTGAACTCTCATAAGCCTCCCTAGATTTTAGTCTTGCATTTTCAAGTCATTGCGTATTCAAAGTTTGGTGATGGGCCCAGTTGTAGAGTAGATAAAAGTAGCATTTCTGATATGGATTCTTTCTTTCCTTGTCATGCTTAACTAAAGAACCACAAGAACATCTTTTCCATAGTTACATTTTAATTCAGCAAGAACGTCACACTACCCTATAGTCAGACCAGATGTAAAAAGTAATTTCCCTCATTTAATTATTTTCTAGCTCAGATCCGAAGAAAAAAAGACCCTGGAATGTCAGAGTGCGCAAGTGAGCAGTTGTTAAGTACCTGCGCTGCGTTTTTTGTGCATTTTTTCATCACCTTGCTTTTCCCATTTTTCTCTCACCTTCCCTATAAGCTGGAAAATTGGGGGTTCTTCCAGATTTGTTGTGTGCTCTTGACTGCCAAGGGTGCTTCTGTACACTGCAAAAGTTTGAGGCTACCAGGCTAGCAGCAGCTCAAGCACTGCTTTGTGTGACTTGTTGCTAAAATGTATTTTGTTGTGTTTACTTCTTACTGTGAATTTAGTAAGTTAAGCATTGTCTGGGAGTGTCTGTGGGTCAAATAGTTGTTTAAAAGGAACAAATGTTAGCACGTAGTTGCATTAGTGACATTTGAAATGTGCAGGTGTAGGGAAGGGCAAGTGACAAACAAGAAAATTCTGATTTAAAATTATTTGTAGACTTATCTTTCTGATTATGGGAAAGCCACTTGAGCCAGGCTTGGGATGCAGCTAAAATCTTAAGCTCTCTGTGCCTAAGATTTCTCTTCCATCCAGATGAAAACAGCATTATTTTCTCGATAGTTTGCATGCAGATCAGTGTAGCAGTCAGGAACAGTTTGATCAGTAGTGGTGTAAAATTAGAGTGAGTTCTGGGTGGAAGAAATAATAGAAGTTCAGAACAAAAATGAAGGATTTTAAAAGCACCAGAATTGCCTAAGATTAAGGCATGAGTAAAATAGTTGTGTTAATATATATTCTGTGTACAGAAAAGTAAAATCCTTCAAAAACTATTTGAGCTCACAATCGACTGGATGAACTCATTCCTTTGGACAGAGGTTGTTTAAGAATCTATCTCATTTTCTTCCCAGTTGAGTAGCATTATATGTTTCTGAAGTAAGAATGTTTAAGAATTACCTGTTTGACTCTTTGAGACTCAAAGCAGTATCTACAAAGGCTTGCTACTCCAACCAGACAGTAAACTTATATTGCTAATAAACAAAGAAGTCTCAGATCACTAAAAACAGCTTACCTAGAGATGCATTTTCTTAAGTGTTGAATTTAAATAATTCTTAATGTTGGTTCTGCATGGTAGTATTACTTTGTCCCTTAATTTTTGAAACATCATATTTCAGAAATGTAGGCCTATATGTATACTTACTATTCATAATAACTCTCTGGGCCCACGATCCAGCCAGTTTTTTATCCAGTGAAGAATACACCTGTTCCAGACATGAGCTAAAAGTTTCATCAGAAGAATACCATGGCAGAGGTATTTGGCTTTGCTGAAGTCTAGATAGACTACATCCCCAGCCTTTCTCTCATCCACCAGGTGGGTCACTCAATAATAGAGAGAGATCAGGTTGATCAAGCAGGACCTACCTTTCATGAACCCATACTGGGTAGGTGTGATCCCCTGATTGTTTTGCACGTGCTGTGTGAATCACATTCAAGATGATCTGTTTCCATAGCCGCCTCTGATACCATGGTCAAGCAGTCAAGCCTGTAGTTGCTCAGATCCTCTCCTTCCAACCCTTATGGGCAATGTGAATGGGCATCACATTGGCAAATGTCCAGTCATTTGGAATCTGTTTCACCAGAACTGCTGGTGGATGACATCAGGTGGCTTAGCAATCAGTTTTGCCAGCTTCCTCAGTACCCTCAGATGGATCTCATCTGCCCTTGTGGACTTGTGACTCTGAGTGGAGCAGCAATCACTAACAGTTTCCTCCTAAATTGTAGAGATTTTATTCTGCTCCCCACCTCAGTCTTCCAGCTCAGGGAGCTGAGTACCCTGAGGATAACTGTTCTTACTATTAAAGTCAGAAACAAAGAAGGTACAGAATACCTCACTTTTCTCCTTCCTTTGTGGCAGTGTTCCCTACTGCAGCCAGTAAAGGGTGGAGATTCTCCTTGGCCCTCCTTAATGTATTTGTAACAACACTTTTGCTTACCCATTACAATGGTGGCAAGATTAAGTTGTAGCTGGGCTCTTGCTGTTCTAATTTTCCCTCTGCATATCCTCGCAACATCCTTGTATTCTTCTCGAGTTGTCTACTCCTTCTTCCAAAGATGGTAAACTCTTTTTTTTTTCCTAGAGTCTCAGCAAGAGCTCGCTATTCGGCCAGGCAGTCTTCTTTCATGCTGTCTTGTCTTACGGGACGCAGGGACGGCCTGCTCCTGCACTTTTAAGATTTCCTTCTTGAGGAATGTCCAGCCTTCCTGGAGCCCTTTGCCCTACAGGACTGTCTCCTAAGTGACTCTCCCACTCAGTGTCTGTCCTCTGGAAGTCCAAGATAGCAGTTTTGCTGACCCCCCTCTTCTGTCTTCACCAAGAATAGAGATCTGTCATTTTGTGGTTGCTGTGCCCAAGACTATTGTTTTCAAACAACCCGATAAATAACACTTTCAACTTTTGACCTGGCCACCTGTGTATTATGTATGAAATTGTCATAATATTGCTATTTAATAATTTCAAGGGATTAGGAAGTTTATACAAGATGAGATAATATAAGATTCATTTCTAATGTTTCTTTTTATGTGCTATTTTTCTTTAAGACTCATGAACATTCTTTGAAATCAGAGAAGTTGGCACAGTTGAGGAAAAAATGACTTTTTCATGAGCTTCTACAGAATATGCAAAAGAGCTAAGTGAGATCTTCAATGGTAAGTTTAACTTTTGTTATTATTACAGTTACTCTGTACCAGTTCTTGAATGCCTTTATTTATTATTCTCTACAGGTTCCCTGTCCTTCAGAATGTTTGCAGTTATGTTATTTTAATTGCATTTGAAACGTTTTGTTAGAAACAACTTTTAAACTAAAAAATACAAATCATTAATGCATTGTCTGCCCTTTTGATAATGTGAGCCGTCAGCACGTTAATTTATTCAGGGTTCAAGAGTGCCTAATTTTCAGTTCTCCAGTTTGCAACATTCACTTCAGTTGCAGGGCTTTTTGCTACAAATTACATCCCAAGTCATCTCCAGTTTTAGGTCTTACTAGTAGAATGTGAAATGCAGCAGTATCAATGTGAAATACAAATATCTAGTTTGTATGAGGGCTTTTTAGGTGGTGGGACTCTCTAATGAAAATGTTTATTTTAAACACTGAATTATGTAAAATGAATAAGACTTGAGGAAAAAAAAATCTGTTAGTGATTTTTAGGTATATAACATTGTTAACTTATAAGATACTGAAAATATTAATTTGATTTTATCTATCAAGTATAGTGTTTATTCAGTGAAATTACCCATTTATCTGTCTGTATATTGCAGCTTTTGTCCATGAAAGCTCTTAGAGAAGATGGCTGAAATAAGCCTAAAGGAAGTGGCTCTAATAGTAGGTGTGGTGGCAGCTTGCTACTGGAACAGTCTCTTTTGTGGCTTTGTTTTTGATGATGTTTCAGCAATCTTGGACAACAAAGATTTGCATCCTTCTACTCCATTAAAAAATCTGTTTCAGAATGACTTCTGGGGGACTCCAATGTCCGAGGTAAACTGTCCGTTGAACTCTTTAAAGAAAAAAAAAAAATAGACAATTTTTACACTCTTTTTCCCTAGTGTGATTTTAACAGTTGGATGGAATTTGATAATGTTTATATTTTGAACTATCAGATTAAGGGTAGGTCTCTATTGTAATTTTTCCTTTTGTTCAGCAAAAGAGCTCATAAGAAAATACTTCAAGTTTCTGTGTTACCTAATTTTAGTACAGAAATTAGACAAATTTGACAATTTTCCCTTCTCCCACATACACACTGACTTAGAATAGTATTTATTTCTAGTGTCTGTCTGGAAGGAAAGATAACACTGAAACAACAAATCTAGGATTTGGAGAATAGGTGTTTAATCTATTATGTTCATTTGAGTAAGTATATTGATATGAATTGTGAGTTTTTGGTTAGTAGCCTATGTTGAGTCGCTACATTTTTATTTGAAAAGCTGCACTGGCATTAAATTGTCAATAAATATAATTAAACAGCAGTACCAGAAGGGTTTACGTAAAATTTAGAAAGTCACATGTGATACCATTGATGGACACGTGAAAAAAAAAAATGACTATCATAGGTGTTTTGGCTTAAAGACTTTCCGCCTTGTAGTCTTAACCTTTTCATGTCTGTAATATACATCAAGTTTATTGTTGAATAATAATTGCTAGATGTACAAATAGACTTTGATATGTAATTTTTATATAAGGAAAGCTTCCAGACTTATTCAGACACCCTATAATCCTGTAGTCATTCAGAGTACACGGGCGCTGAAACTCCAGTTCTGATTTTGCACTTAGAAAGCAAATAAAAGTGTGATAAAACTTAACAAAACATAGATTAATTTGAATGTTCATGACTTTTAAATTACTTTTCACATCTTGTGCAATTTCAGTATTTTTCATATTTATGTGCAATTTCACATTTCATGTGTGCACATTGACTGGTACACATATTAAGAATATGTAGGTAATACATTTATCTAAGAGCAACAGAATTTTTATTTTTAAAATATGAAATGTGAGATTGATCAAAGCACCTGAATAATACATTAAAACTGTGGGGAAGAGGGAAAAAATAATTAGAATTAACTTCTCTGTTTCGACAGCTGTATTTTCAATTTAGTTTTCATTTCATTCACTATACTTCATTGTTAGTATTACTAATTTTCATGTCTTTATTTTTAAGGTAGATATCAGAATAGTGGGGGGAAATCTTGAAGGCACAGATTTTTAAAAAGATATTTTGGAATAAATGTACTGTTATAAGACGGTTGTGACTCATTTTTTTATTTCCTTTCAGGAGCGGAGTCATAAATCTTACCGACCCCTCACAGTTCTCACATTTCGCTTAAACTACTTGTTCAGCGAGTTAAATGCAGTTTCTTACCACTTCCTAAATCTCATCTTTCACGGGGTGGTTTGTGTAGTCTTCCTCAAGGTCTGTAAGCTTTTCCTGGACAACCAGAGCAGCATAGTTGCATCCCTTCTCTTTGCAGTGCACCCAATACATACTGAAGCGGTAGGTAAACCTGTTATGTGCTTGATTTGTTCAAACTGCATTTTTTAAGCTTAGATGTTGTATTTTGTGTAAATGGTTACATACAGTAAATCCAAAAGGTGTGTGGTTTTTTTTTTTCTTTCTATATACTGTTTACTCAGCTATTTGTGAATTGTGATGGAGATGACCAACTTTAATGCTCTGAGTTGTTTGACATTCCATGCAGTTAGTGAGAAATAAGTAAAGACACATTCATTTAGCTATTAAATAATTTGAGAGTCTTCTGTGACCATTTCACTTTTATGATGATGACTGCTTTAGCTCGCATAATATTTGTGTTTTGTGATGTTTCTAGTGTTTTACAAGTGCTATCAGTACCTCTCAATTCATTTTCATGAATTCAGTTCATTTGCTAAGCCATTACTTATAGCTAATCACAGAACCTGTTCTGTCTAGTGTTTTTTTTTTTTTTTTATGCCAGTATATCCTGCTAGTAAGACTGTTGCTGGCGTTGTTACTGCTATACTACATTTAACTTAGTATCTTTGTTTGAACCAACATCAGAATGAAGAAATACATATGCCTCTTATTTACCTTTCCATTGATTCTATAGGAGTGTTTCTCTACAGTGGAAAGCAGTATTTATACAAACTGCCTGATTATATGCTATTTGATGTTTAACTAGTCTTCTAGCAATATTTTGAAGTAGATCTTCATGTGATTAATCAAGTTTCCAGGAGAAATTGTGGTAAAGTAGATACGTAGAATTTTCTGCTGTTCCTTCCATATCATGTAGGTTGGCTCACCTAGATTTCACTTCACATTCGTTGCAAAGCCTATTCAAAAACTCTTTTTTCTCTTATATTGTTACATGATTTTCAGAAAATGGTAAATATTAGAAGTGTAGGTTGGAAATGACCTTTAAGCTCTTCTAGTCCAACTGTTCACCCATCACCACCATACCTATCGCCATTCAAAGGTGCGGATACTATTTTGGATTCAGCTCGTAAATCTTGAATGAATTTCTCGAGAGCACAGGGAAGGAAACTTGTCCTTTGTGGCTTTCCTTCTTGGTGAGCAGTGAATATCTCATAAAGATAATAATCCTGTAACTTTTACAGCATAGAAGTAACGTAGAGATTTTTTCTTGGCCCTGTTGGACACAGCTTGCCATTTTTGAACACAGGTTCCTATTTTTGGATGTGTTCGTCCAGAGTTCTAATCTTTGTTTCTTGTTAAGTTAGAAATGTCTCTCCGTAGAAATTCAGTAGACCTCATCTATGTATTGAGAGCAAATCTTTACAGAAAATAAGTTCCGAGCGTTTATAATTGGCTGTTATCTGAGCAGTTGTTATGTCCTTTCTGTAAGAAAATAGAGGCATGTCTAAAAAAGTTAAGTTTCTAAAAAAAATAAATTACCGGGGAAAGCAAGGGTTAGATAATGTGTTAGCTCTGCTTGCTTTTCTGTTTCCTTGAAAAAAACATGCTTAAGTTTCAAAGTTTGGCTTTGCTTATTTATAGTAAATGTGATAGCATCTTTATAGGAGCATTAGCTGCGCGACTTAGATTGCGGGTTTGTGTTTGAGTAATACATTTTTCACTTCTTTCATTTTGTGATTCTATGAATCCATTAGTTTATTTTGTTTGAACTGTCAGGTTCTTTTTGAGATAATGGTAACAGTTAACTGCTTTTAATACCTTGCAATAGAATTACCAAAGAGTTGCATAAAGCCTGTGAAACCATGCAAGTTTATTCTTTAAGGCAATGTATTATGAAGCCATAAAGTGCAGTTGAAGCAAAATAATGTAGTAATGTGTGCAGTATTTGATGTTAGCCACATGAGGGCACTTTAAGACTACACAATTACTAGAACTTTGTACTATACTTAAAACCTTTATATACTCTTGAGATTCCACTGCTGTTGTATGTAGGTACTCAACAGAAAAATAATTTCTTCCTCCCCACCTTCAAATTTAAGTCTTCTGATTTTGAGACATAGTATATTTTATTCTTTTTAGTGTTTGCATGGAGAATGTCATGTAACGTGCAACTAAGAAAAGATTCTTGTATTTGAAAGTTGTAGTTTGTGTATAAGGAAACGAGGTAATAATTGACTGTATTTTAGGATCTTAGACTTGGGTGTCAAGTGACTTACTCAGACTTTTTAATAAGAACTCTAGAAAGGTTGCATTCCTAGTTTTCATATCATTTGATGGTATTTCTTGTTTCATTGGATATTTGAAATGTATCTGAAATTAATTCCTTCAATTTAGTCTTACTGTTTTGCGAAAGAGTTTGAAATAGGAGATATAATACATGCAAATATCAAACCTTTACCTGTCTGTTGACAAAGGGATTTGTCTTGGAAAATCTAATGGAACAGCATAAATAGAGGGGAAAAAAATTCTGCTTGACGTGAGAGAAAAAATGAGCTATAGGGAAGGTAATATATCATTTTTTGAGGAAAAATGATTGAAAAATGTCATCCGTGTCACTTGTACTTGTCGCTGGAGTTCCACTTCAGATATTCTACCTAGCTTGCTACCGTTCAGGCCAGAAGCATTTTGACCACCCATTGAGCTCAAGGGATGTCAAGTAACCTTGTAAATGCTGGAGTCTTCATTTCATAAGTCACCTTTGTAGCCAGAAATAGTCTCTCTTTTGTTGTCTCAGGATTGTGGAGGCACACCAGCACACTTGCTTTACCTATGATCTCCTTCAACAGATCTAAATTCTACTTCATGCTGGACAATTTTGTGGTGAAGACCAGGAGTCTTTGAAACATCTGAGACTAGTTTTGAAACAAGTACCTTTGTACTACCCAAAATGTTAACACAATTACTAATGCCATATCAGTTTTGAAATATGCTTTGTGACTGTGCATGTTTCAGTGAGTCCTTTCGTAAATTTAAACTTGGTGAACTGTACTGCTAATGGAAGCAACAGAGAATGATTTCAAAGTCAGTTTTGAATGTTTGTATTTTTAACACCATGACCTTGGATATTGAATTACTTTCTCTTTAATGCTGTGCTGGATCAATCATGCTTGACCAGGAATGTACCTAGCTATAAAAATTTCTAGCACAATCTGGATGGCTGAGAGTCACATTTGAGCATCATCATAATTACATGGTGAGCTGTGAGGTTTTTGTAGATTTGACTGTCTACCTTGGTATGGTATGCTGCTTTCAACTCATTTGCTCAAAAAGAACCCCAGAGTAATCAGACACATTACAGGCAGTTCTAAATGATACTATAGTTAGAACAGTGGCTACTGCACTAGATACTAATGTAGTGCTTCTCCACATTTTCGTAGAATCCTTTTCTCTGTGTCCAACTACCAAGAGAGGGCAGTACCTATAATGTTATTATTGCCTGCAAAATTATCATTCAGAAAATTGTCAAATTTGTAGTAAAGCCTGAGCCATTCTTTAACTTCGCTGCTCAGTTTGACGTCAGCGTATAGATAACTTTTAACTGTTTGGATTAGAGCTGCCATAGCATCAGTTAGGTAAGTGTTTCTTTCAAATTCAGCTCCACTTAGTCAGTTTAAAAAGGCATGGATAAAAATAACAATTGTAGTTTCTATATCCATTGTTTGCAGGGTGAGTATGTAAGTGAATGTGGCAAAGTCTTTCTTCCAATTTTTGTTGATGAAAGCCAGTTTATTTGAAGAATTACTTCAAATAAGTCATTCTACTCAAATTCTGCCTCAAGTGCTATTTGTGGCTGGTATTATTGAAGATAAGGCAATATAGCATTTCTCAATTATCTCATGTATGGTGGTACTTATAAGCAGTGGTACATCAGGTGTCTGACAGATGCCTATATCATAGTGTGTTTTCACTGAAAGGAGTCTTGCTCTTATTAAACTTTTCTGCTAGTTTACAGATTGTGTTTATTCATATCACAATAACATATTGGCATGCACTAGTCTAATACTAGAAGTCAACTAGAACTTACTGGTTTTTTTTCTTCCTTCTCTTTTAGGTAACTGGAGTTGTGGGCAGAGCAGAGCTTTTATCATCTATCTTTTTTCTAGCTGCATTTTTATCATACACTAAATCTAAAGGACCAGATAATACCATAGGTAAATGACCTCCAAATATGTGTAACTTAATTTCTGTATTAGTGTTAAAGAGCTCTTAAAATGGCAATGTACATATGCTAGTTATTCAGCAAATATCAAAGAATGTTCCAAAAGCCATCAACCCCATAATGTCCCTGTAGCAGTACTTCCAGTCACAAATTGCTTTTTATTTTCTTCAAGACTAAAGCATTTTTTTAAATGTTTTGTTAAACCTTGAGTTCTCTAATGACAGAGATATTCTTGTACTAACTCCATTGAATGCAGGTGGAAGTATTCTGAGATGCTTCAGTTGGTCCCAAGCAGAGTTTCAGTAGAGATGTAGGAAGCTTATCTCTTTTCCAAAGTCAGTTTGACCTTGTGAAAATTTATGACTGCCTTTAAAATATACATTTGAAAAGTTATTCTGGTGAGTTAGGAAAGATTGTTTTTTTTCTTTCTTATCAAAAGCTCCAACCTTTGCCTTTTAATTAGTTCTTTCAGTTTAAGGGAGGCAGTTTTAAAACTGGTAACTTGTAAATAATTTTCTGTAGAATAAGACTGGAAATGTTGCCTTGAGTAACAATTGACACATTGGGTAAATTTGTAGAGCACGTTCAAACAGTCTTCATCTCTCAGGTTAACTTAATAAGTTTTTTTGTTGTGCTATGAAACATTTTAAATAGTGTCTTCTTGATTTGCAGTGTGGACTCCCATTGCATTGACTGTGTTTCTAGTAGCTGTTGCAACACTGTGTAAAGAACAAGGAATTACAGTGGTGGGGATATGCTGTGTGTATGAAGTATTTATTGCTCAAGGGGTAAGATGCAGTTGAAATTCAAATTCTTCTCAAGAATTCTTTAAAAAGATATTAAACATTTAGAAGCATAATATTTCATCACTGATTTTGTCAGCTCAAGCTAATTCTATAGTTCCAATAAGATCTTCAGATGTTCTTTTTGACTTAATTGATGTTTAAAATACATTCATCGTGGACAGGGATTCATATGCCTTCTAAGTTGTCTTTTACATAGCAAATATATATTACCAAATTACTTGAGGAAGGAATCCCACGTCTTTATGAAAACCTCATGTTTTAGTTTATTAAGGCTTGCAAAGGCTTGTATGTAACAGTCTTTGTTAAAGTATTGGGATGCATAAAGATGGAGATTTGGTTTTTAAATCCTTTAAGTAAAAGATTTTAAGTAGTGAACATACATTCTAAAGATGCACTTCATGAATTTCTTACGTATAACCAGATGTTTTGGAGTAGTCTTATTTGAGTCAGTATTACTTTAAAGAAATTTGTTGCTTTAAGAATGACTTCAGTTTCTAATCTAAAAGGCTTCATGCCGAGCATTGCTAAGTCCATACATGAAATTTTTTTAGAGAAACATTTTTCCTTTAGTGAAAGAATTACTGGCTTTTTAATAGTCAACTCATAACCAGTTAAATATATATATATAAATAGCATAAGAAAATATTTTAAATGTACTATTCCTTAATTATTTAAATTATGGATTGTTATTTTGTAAAAGCTGAAAGATTGTCTACCTTAGCATGCTCAAGGCTAAAATTACACATTTTTGTGCTTGAAGAAATCTGTGTTTGCAGCTATTTGGCTTTATGTGTCAAGTGAATAAGCATGTCATTTTCAAACTGGATTTCTAAAGGAATGATCTGTATGTTCCCATACTTTTTAAGCCTCTATTTTGCTTAGTAACTTTTTATCTAAATCTAATGTTTTAAAAATTTTTAACAAGTTTGTGCAAGTCAGTTGAGTAGAATAGATAAAATGTAAAGAAGGACTGCTGAGAGCATAAGTGTAGCATGAACCTATCAATGTCTGTACTTTAGTTAACCAGTGTACGTGAAGCCCTAAGTTGTCCCTAGAGCAAGACACGAAGGCACAGGCAAAGAAGTTGGTGCACTGGGAAGAAATCAGGTTACATAGTGTGCAAGATTGTAACACTCAAGAGTCAGGAACAGGTAGGTTACTGCAGTAGAGCAGTAAAATTGAAAGCCATGGCTGATCAGAAATAAGGTATTTCTACTGCACCTGGATATTTTCTTCATGGGACAAATTTTCAAAGGGGCTAATAATTAAAAAAAAAAAAAGAAAGTAAACTTTATTTCATGGTCATACTTTGTATAATGAATTCTCTGCTTGAGGATGGAACACATTTTTTCATCTGTCAATACAAAATATGGTACTAAAGGAATGTGAGTTCTGCTATGATAGTGTTACAATTATATCTAGGTAGAATTGTTTTTATTAGAATGGTGCACTTAGGGAGTGGGGTATGTGAAACACATACAAACATGAATTAAGTATTTGGAGCATGCTTTTACAGAAAAACAAGTCAAAAAAGTTGAAATACTTTTTATTTAGCTAAGTTAATGAATACACTGATTAAAAACACCTTTTCCTTTGCAGTATACCTTACCAGTTCTGTGGGATACAGCTGTTCAGATTCTTCGAGGGAAGGGCAGTATTCCTTTCTCCATGCTCCAAACACTGTTGAAGCTCATAGTCCTAATGTTTAGTACACTGCTTCTTGTTGTTGTCAGAGTCCAGGTTATCCAGTCTCAACTTCCAGTGTTTACAAGGTAATGGAAAGGTCAAAGATGCATTACCTGAAGTGTCTAAAAAGATTTCAAAAAAACTTTTGGTTGCTAATTAGCTCTAATATTGTAGAAATTAAGTTTCATTATGGATTTTTTTTTTTGACTTCATATCTGAGCCTTCAGAACTCTGAGTACTTCAGAACTTTTAACAAGTATTTCCTTGTCTACATATGATTAATTGTTTTGTTTTAGATGTGAACTGTGGAGAAAACATGTATCTTCAGATACAGAATCTAGGATAAATGTATATGAATACTGGTAGAATGGAAAAACTGTAATTTACTGTGAAAATGTGAAATAATATAAAAGTGTAATGTTTTTCCTTGAGAGAACTTTCAAAAACTTTTAAAATGATAAATGAAGCAACTCTCAGGAAGAGGGCCGTAAATCACTGTTTGTTGAAACAATCAATCAACAAACAATTGTTTGTTTCCTTAAGCAATCATTCAGTTTGTTGAAACAGAATGATTGTATCCTAAACATTCCCAATTCTTAAAGTGTTTCAGAGAAGGCTCTGTCCTGCAGTGCTAAGATGCAACATCATGCACTAGTCTCCAGAGTACACACCTTACAAATGCAGGAAGATTAGGGCAAGAGCTGTTGTGCAAAGGCTGCTCTGAAACTAATACCTTCTACTTTATTATGTTGGCTCACAGTATCAGAGGCAGATGTTGATAGTATGGCAGTAGACGCTGAATCTTCCCACCAATATTTTGCTATGTTTTGTTGCCGTGTGACAGATAGCAGCAGAGGAGGAGTGTGATGAAATGGCATCTGACATGGAAGTACATAAATGCAAAGGTGTCATTGAATTCCTCCATGCAGAAAAAATGGTACCCATTGGCACTTGCTGAGTATGTATGGAGATCAGACAGTGGATGTGAGCACAGTGAGGCAGTGGTGACAACAGTGTGAAAGACAAGCCGCTTCCAGATGTCCATGCACAACTGTTACACCGCAAAATGAAGTGTCTTGATCACGTCATCCATGCAAATCTGATGGTGGTGATGATTTTGAAAAACTGTGTTCTGTGGCTGAGAATTGTCTCTGTCAAACAATGTTATTGTGCTATTTGTATCTGTTACGGTTTCCATGGAAATAAATAGGAGACATTACTTTCAGAGTGACCTAAGTACATAGCTGTAATTGGCACTTCTAGCTGTGATCTAGAGTGCTTGCTTCTGGTCTTAAAATCAATGAAGATCATTATTTGCTTTCATTAAAAGCTCATTTTTCTCCTTTATTTTTCTTTAGGTTTGATAACCCAGCTGCTGTAAGTCCATCTCCAGCAAGGCAGCTGACTTTCAACTACCTCCTCCCTGTGAATGCTTGGCTTCTTCTCAACCCCTCAGAATTATGCTGTGACTGGACAATGGGAACTATCCCACTTGTGGAGTCTTTGTTAGACGTCAGAAATGTTGCCACCCTTACATTCTTTTGCTTTCTGGGATCTTTGGTTGTCTTCAGTCTCCGATATCCTGGGGATTCCTCCAAGACTGTACTGATGGTATGATTGATGCATTTGTATTTTTTTTCTCTCTCTTCTCCCTGAATGAAACTGGCTTAGGATGTTTCATCACCTACCTAATCTTTGGTGACACTATGATGCATCTTCTTCTGGACTAGAGTGAACATGTAAGAAAAGAGAAAAATTGTTGTAGCAGTAAACCCTTTGAATTGTAATTAAGTATGTTGACAGTCTTAGGGATGAGATGGGAGAAAATAAACAAGAATAAATATGTTTATTATTTATTTGCCAACTGTATTATGGCTGTTTTGAAATATCCAGAAGTTAGCTAGAAAACTGGAGTTTTCAGTATTAATTAAGAGCACTCTTTAGTCTTTTCCGTTTTCTAAATGAAAACTAGGTTTGTCAACCTAAAAAATCACTTCCATTTTTTTTGCTAATATATGAGTTTAAGTGGAGTTTAACTGGATTCTCAGGAAAGAGTATTTTGGAGGAAATGGAGAAATGAAAAATATTTTTCATCTAAGAAACAAAGGTTTTGGTTGCTGCTACTGCAAAATCTCATAAGATGAATGGTTAGCTGATAGCATGTTCCTTATTAAGTCAGTGATGCAATTATGTTTGCAACAGATCTGCACGCATAATCTAAGCTTGTCTTAGTAGTAATGTGCTTTTTTTTTTTTTAATATGTAACTAGCCAACAGAAGTTTCAAATGGGTGGGAAAATTTATGCACAATTAAACACCAAGAATTTCTCTGCTAACCAGCAGACTTCAGACAAACTTCAATTCATGTCATGACCTAACACAGTTCTAATATAATTTTTTTGTTTGTTTCATCATTGGAGTGAGGCAAATTGTTTCTCTTGAAAATTGGTAAAAGTGATCAGTAGCCAATGATGCTTGTAGTTCTGACTTTGGAAACAGCTTGTGAAGTAAAAAACATTATCTTATTTACGTAATAAATGTGCAAGATGGCATGCCCAGATAATTACAATTTAATGCTGTTGGACATTTTATATTTAAGTAACTAAATTGTTTTCAAAATGTTATTTTTGTCTTTCAGCATTTAAATATAAGTAAGTAGTTTAACTTTCATATTTACGTAAACTGAAAAAAAAATTATCCAGTGCACTGATAACAGTGTGGGAAGTAGAACACCCTTTTATAGAAGACTGCTCTTGAACTCTTTATTTTACTGCATTTTCCTTCCTGTTTTTCAAAGCTCAGAAGAGAAAGGGTTAATAGAGTTTTCAGCATAAATTGTTGTAAGTTGGTTTGGTTTTGTTCAAGGATGCTTTTTTATTACTTATAATTCCAAGTGGTTTTTTTTACAGGAAAGGTCTTCTGAGATTTTAAGTAAAGCCTGTGAACTACAGTGAGGCTGAAGATAGTACAATCACCATTTAACAAAAGTTCTTTTCCTTTCATATATTTCTGTGTGTGTTGTGTATATAATCATCTGTGTGATGTTGATTTTCTCTGGAATATCTAAGTGCATTAAAGCTAATTGCTTAGGAATTGAGATAAAAACTAATTTTTAATAGTTTATATAACTTTGAACAACACCGTAAGGCAAAAGCCATGTTGTCTTACAATTAACCATTAATATCCTGATGTAGACAGGATATTCTTTTACAAGGTTTCTTCACTATGGCTTGTCTGTTTTACGTATTAGAGTGTTTGTAATACCATCTTTAAAATGAAGAGATTGAATCTTACACAACTTATAGCAGTTTTCCAGATAACTATGTTGGAATAGTGGTTGTTTTGTTGTTGTTGTTTTTCTTTGGGTTTTTCTGTTGTTTGTTTTTTTAATAAGTATTTTTCCATACTCAGTTCTCAGTTCTTCCAGTACAAGCTTGACTTTCTGCTAGCCAAAATAAGTTACTGCCCTGACAGGTGTAAGTTCTGTGTGTTGTCTGCATGGATTCCTCCTAACATAAAGGTGCTTTCAACACATCATAATTGAAAGTGTGACTGTTCGTACTGTTTATTTTGAACTCTTAATGAGTCTTACTCCAATGGAGTTACAAAGGGCTTTGTAAAGAACTTTACCAGTCTCTGGCATGTTTTGGCTCTTACATTAGCCCCGTGTGACCCTTAGGTCTGATACTGAAGCATAAGGTAAATTCACAAGTGACTTTCGTTTATGAGATTGAAAACAGTACAACTTCAAGCCTCCTGGAAAAATAGAGGTGTTTTTTTTTTTTTTACTTTGTGTATAATCAATGAATATACAGATATTATAATTAAGAAATATACAAGAAAGTTAGGCTAAACAGGTTACCACGCTAAAGAAGAATGGATGGAAAGCTTACCCTTGTCCTGGGCTTGCTGAGAAGACTCCAAGAGGAGCAGTCTCCAAAGAAGATCCTTCCCTCAGTGGTAGTCAGTTCTTAAATGGGGTCTAGGAGAGATGGAGCAAGGCTCCACCCCTTCCAGTAGTACAGGTGAATTGCCTTAACCTGTGCTCCTAGGGCTGACTTATTGTTTGCCTCAGGTGGTCAATCAGAGGTTCAGGCCGTGATTCAGCAATTCCCATGCACTTTGCAGATAAAATGCAAAGGAGAGAGATCCAAAATACAAGATAGAACAGAGACTTCAAGCATGTCTTAGTATGTATGTTGTTCTGTATTTGCTGGATATGGGTGTTGTTGGGTGAGACAAGACAGAAGAATGGATTCCTCTTCTTACTTCTACAACTGACAGTGGACATCCCATAGTTCTTTGCAAGTATTCTCACAGAATGAAGTAACAAGAGACGTGGAAGTTTAAGGACCCGTTTTCAGCCATAATATATTTAAAACCAGTCATCTCTACCAAGAATAACTTTGGTAAGTTGGTGCATTCTATTTTACTTTGTCATGTTTTTATTTTTGCAGTAAGTCCTAAAATTGCCTTTTCAAAATATCAGTACTGCGAGAGCTCTAAACAGATAAATCGGTTCTTTGAAGTAGCTAATTCATTCTTTCAAATAAACTAACAAAAAATGGAATTGTGTATAACAAAACAGAACTCATGCTTTGGCATGTTAATGTCATTACACTGCTTGAAATAATTGATTATTTTGACATTAATGAAAGACATGAATAGAAACAGAATTTTCTTAAGCAACTAAAGTATTTTATACTCGCTGTTTGCAGTCCCTGTGAACAGTCAGATAACTTACTGTCAGAGCGAGTGATCTTTTAAAATAAGTTGTAGTTTAAGTATTGAAAATATTTAGTACTAGAAATAGCACAGATCTAGAATTATTTCAGTGTCTTCTCACCAGGTTCCAGAATCAAGCTGTGATCATGGCTTTTATTTTTGATGTGAAGTATTTTGGGTATACACTTGCCTTTGTTAGCTACCAAAATTTTAATAAAAGCTTATCTCTTGATAAATGCTAAGTGTTCCTACTAAAGAGGATCCTTCCTCTTACTCTCTTATGTTGAGACCATACTCAATCAAAAAACTTGTTGGCTTTCTACTGTGCAAATGTCAGGAGCAGAGAGAGTATCTTTAGAGAAAGTCCTTAGAACTTGTAAGTGATGTAACAGCCAAGACATCAGTACTTCTAAATTCTTTGATACTTGATTCTGTGCTTACATTTAAGTCTTTGAAATATTTCCTTGTGAACAATAATCTGGCGATTCACTTATTCATTATAGTTTGTGGTCACATTTCAGAGTTTTGTCATGTGCTTTGTGCTTTCTGCATACTCTAAATGTTTCTTTCTCTTCTAGGTTTGTCATTTGCCTTGACTGGGACTTTTTTTTTTTTTCAACTGAACCTCTGCACCTGCTGAAAGACTGATATAGAGAGTAAATGAAAAGAAGACATTTTTATCTACTGGAGCTTTGAGTCTGTCACTTACAAAATTGTATTTGAAGGACAGTATACTAAAGAGAGACAAAGGGACTGAAAGAGAATTTCAATAAAACATTGTGTAACATGTTGCCATCAGAAAAATTAAAAAGAGCAGACCATGCAAAAACCTTTGTTACTTAGGAACAATTCTTTTTATTGCGTGTGTAGATTGTAAGCACTCAATGCTACCAGGCACTTGCTGTGTGAGCTGCAGAATCCTTCCTACTGGAAAATAGTGGATTTCACTGTTCTGCTGTACTCTTGTTAACCTTGGGGCTGTAAGACCAATGTCCTTACTGTATTTAAAAATAATAATAATAATGGAATTTTTTTATTTTTATCCAATATTGGTTATTTTTTTCCAATAATGGAAAAACTAACTTCTTAAAATCTTAAGAGATAACTTCTTCAAATCAGTGTTTTAAAATGAGTTAATTCATTTAAACAAATGTACAAATCTTATAGATTGTAAAGAGTATTGCATTGTGAATGGCTTGTATTTAAATAGTCTGCAAAACAGCAGCACTTTTTTTTTTTTTGCTAAAGTATGCTTGGAACATGCTTCTTGTTGATTTTCTTTTGTACATGTTTGCAAATCACAAATTTCTAGAAAATTCCTCTTATTTTATTCAAAGAAGTACTCAGTTTCTGTAGGGATTTGGATTTTTTGTTTTTGTTATTTGTAACTTGGATGCCATGTATTTAGAAATAACTACTTAAACCTTTTGATGATATCAGAGATTGTAAAGCTCTTAGTCACTCAGAACTTAAAACAAAAGGTTGTATCCACATCCTTTGAAGCAGATGGTTTTATATCTATACTCAGCCTAAGAGCTACAGTTAAGGAAGTTGATGAGTTCATTATCATTTTAGATATTTTTGTGTGCCTGTAGTGCAGTATCTTAACATAGATGTTAATTCAGTGGTTGATTCTGGTTTTTATTATTCATATTTTTAAGAGAAACTAAAAATTGATTTCATTCTAAAAATAAGTGCTTTTTTTTTTTTACACTCTGTAAGTTAGTATAAAATTTTTATTGTTATGGGAGATAATGTCCAAAATTGTAGGACTGCCATGTTTTTGTATGTGTAACTTACTAAAATCCTGTTTTGTGCTTGATCATTTCACCTTAGTGTTTTGTCATACAACTTCTCTGTTCTGTAGTATGGAAAACCAAATACATTTGTTGATTGTTAAATAAGGAGGAGTGTCATTTGCCAGTTCTAAGTTTCCATTTTCAGAATCGTCTCAATGTAAAACAGATCTGGTTATGAGTACAGTCTGTCATCACCTAATTTTGCTTACTAATTCGTTTGTATTTCCTTTCTAGGCACTCTGCTTAATAGTGCTGCCGTTCATTCCTGCATCAAACCTATTTTTTCCTGTTGGATTTGTAGTAGCAGAACGAGTGTTATATGTTCCTAGCATGGGATTCTGCATTTTAGTAGCACATGGATGGAAAAAGTTATCAAATAAAAGGTATGGTAGGTATATCCATAACTGGTTTAACTCATCTCTCTTTGTTTAATAAAGGATAAGCCTATTTATGACTGCTAGCTCTCCCTGTAGATCTTTTAGTGGTGTTATTATATTACAACTCTTGTAGTGTGTTAAGTTTTTATTATTGAATGTGGAGTAGTGACAGCTTGGCTGTCGTGTGAACAGATGACAAGAAGGAACTTAGGAGACCAGTGGATATTTTCATTTATAAGCACACATGCATCATCATCAACGTTGCTTTCAGAACAGTAGATTAGCTGTTTTCCCTGTAGAAGAGTTTAGGGCTGCTTTAAGGGATAGCTGTTTGCTAGACAGTTTATTAGGAAAAACGCTTCTATATCTGCAGGTACCTTTGATTAAATTTATCCATGTGCATGTTGGACATGCAGTCAGAAGCTTGACATCTTAAGTTATTCATCCAGTTAAGTACTGTCACTTATTTAGAAATTAACTGCTGTTGAGCTTAGTGCTACGAAGAAGGTTCTGGAAGTTACTTTTTGCTGTTCTGTGTGAATTCCATAGTATCGTAACTGGTAACTTCTTGATCTTTTCATTTGGTGCTATCTTCTTGTGAAGTGGAAGTGATGTAGAGCTTGTAAAATGAAAGGATAATGTATTTAATTCAGTTATTTGGATTTAGATTTTTAGGTGAAAATCTTAAAATCTTTGCTGAAGATCAGCACTTTTGATAGAAGTATATTGCTTACTGTGAAATTTTCATGACTTGATTTAAGCACACTTTATCATGACTTCATGGCCTTTATCTTTTTTTTTTAGTATATTTTTAGTTTAGCGGATAGCAACTTGCCATGGTTGGTCAGACCATTTTGCCAAATAGAGACTTCTGTAAGTATTTGGAAGTAGTCAGTTTAAAATTTGTTAGAGGTTGGATTTGTAGAGGGAGACAAATTTTAAGAAAAGTTTTCAGAAAATAGGATTTTTTATATTTTTATTTTATTACACAAACCAAATTAATAGAAGTACAGAGTGAGTTTAAGGATCATAGAAAGTGCACTTCAGTGCACTGATCCTTTGCCTCTTAAGAAAAATAGTCTTGATGCTAAATACTGAGATTCCTCCTTAGCACGAGGCATTATTGCTACTTTTCTGAGGGTTTTAGAAGGTTAATTTAAAAGAAAATACATGTTTGAAATATTTCTGGCACCAAACATTTTAGAATGCAAGCTGCACATTGCTACAAAATGCACTGCCTAGTTATCTCATCTCTTTTATGTGAAGAAACATAATACTCTTTTTGAAATCATTTTTAAGGATTAAGCAAAAATATTCTAGACTAGGTCTGATTTATACTTCAATTAGAGATGGTTACTGACTAAAGTTTATGTACTGCATGTGTATCAGTCTGCAGCACATGAAAATATCTTAGTTACTGATAAAACTTCAGAATTCAAGTTCTAAGAATGAATATCAGAGCTGTTCAGTATTTGTTTAACTAAAGAATGCTTTAGATAAGAATTTCTCACTTGGAAATTCTGCCCAAAAGTGTATTTTGAATGTATCTTCAGTTTTCTACTGTCTTCTACATTGATCTGTGAATGCTTCTCCCTGGCGTGTATGCTTAAACCTTGTTACCCCAGTGCCATCCTACTGCTTGCTTGGACAACTGAAAGGCAACAGTTCCCAGTCTATGTTGTCTGCTGTCATTAGATGTGAGACCTTGCGGGATAACTTGTGTTAATTGACACTGCCAAAGCTGACAGCACTGGATAAGGAGAAATCCGTGATACCCTGTGGGAGTGAGGAGAAAGTATTATCACAATCCCACTATGATGTGGGAAAAAATAGAAGTGATGTGACAGAAAACAAGGATCCAGGAGAGGGCAGGCAGGGAGGAAAACTAGGCAGCAGTGTGACTTACTACAAAAATACAGGCAGTCAGTGCTCTAAAAAGTCTTCTGATGTGGAAAAGGCTTCTTATTTCAGAAATATGATTGGGGAAAAAAAGCTTTCTTATGAGCCTGGTGAGGATATGGAGTAGTGCATGCATCAGTTCTCACTAATTGCTTTGCTTAAATGTTGAAATACCTTTCATAATTCTGCTGTTCTACATATTAACTTATTTAAAAAAAAATAACAACAGTACAACCAAGCACAGTCCTGCTCAAATGTATGGCATTTTGTATATGAGGGGAAGTCTTGTGTTTTTTATCAAGCCTCTGTGAAGTACTGTGAACAGCTTTTGCATAGACCAAGAAATAGTTGGAAAGGCTGAATAACAGTATGTCTGCTTGAGAATGAGATTTTTAATGCTTGTTAATAAATTGATGTTCTTAATTGGAGGAAGGCTAGGTAGGTATCTAGTGTGTGTTTTCACAGTTAGATCCATCTGATCCATCTGTTAAAATTTACTTTATGTTAAACCAAATGATGTTTAAACTTCAGAAAATAAACAGCAAAAACGATCTAGATGATAATTGCTGACAGTCTGGTCAGAGTGAGATTTCTGCCGCCTAGTAATTCAAGAAATGTTTAGATGTTGTATTATGGGACATAGTTTAGTAGGGAAATACTGGTGGTCGGTGGACAGTTGGACTGGATGGACTGGTCTTTTCCAACGTTGACTATTCTATGATTCTGATTTGCAGTTTTCATAATAAAAAATAAGTTGTTAAAATATTAAATCTTTCACCTTTTTGTTTGAGTTTTATTTGCTTATGGAATGTTGAGCAGTCTCTACAGGAGACCTCTCTAATAAGAAGTGTTTTTTTGTGTGGAAAACATTAGTAATATATTTAGTAAAGAACATGTATGGAATATTAAATAAAAGAATGGGATAATATTTTAGATTTTTTTTTATTTCTCAGTTTATTTGGCTTCTAGCATATAAGATGCTTCATTTAATATAAATTAGAATTGTTTGTATGCTTTTAATAATTCTTTGTTTTGTTGCCTTTTTTCTATTTAATAGCATGCTAAGAAAAATTTCTTGGGTTTGTTTGACTGTGGTACTGTTCACACATGCCTTGAAAACACTGCACAGAAACTGGGATTGGGAATCAGAGTACACATTGTTTATGTCAGCTCTAAAGGTACCGTATCTTAATTGAAAAGGATAAATGAAATTTTATGTTGATGTTCACAAAAACTGACAGTGCATGATAAGAATGAAGAGAAATTATGCTTGTTCTGCCGCTTTGATTTCTGTGTTGACAGTATCTAAATCAATTAGTTGCTTTTGGAAATGCTTTAAAAGCAGTGTGATTCATGTGCAAGAAACAGAAGATATTTTTTTCTTAGTGTGTTAAAACAGTTGAATGTATTCTCTTTATCTGGATTATCTGGATGCTAGCACAATACACTTGAATACAAAATCTATAAAAATTTTCCATAAAACAGTTATTATTTTTTCCTAATGTGCTAATGGCATGGTAGGACAATTTGAACAACCATCTATTCATTCTTCCGTGACAACTATAATGAGTTTTAAATTTCTGCATATTTGTAGGCACTAATAACTAAGGTAAATGTATGTTGAGCAGCAAGTTAAATGCAATTGCTCTGTACACAGTGTGGTTATTCTTTACATGTAACATCTTGATTTGTTATTTGTTGTGTGTTTTTCCAACCTTGAGATGTTGACTAGATGACCTTAGATGATCCAACCCTTCTGATTCTATGATTCTGTGTAGTTAGAAGAAAATCAAGTGTTGTGTAACTTAGATTCAATACATACATAAATTTTTATATATATCATTGTTTTTAGGTAAATAAGAACAATGCAAAGCTATGGAACAATGTGGGGCATGCATTAGAAAATGAAAAGAATTTTGAAAGAGCTTTGCAGTTCTTCATACAAGCCACACAAGTACAGCCAGGTAAAAGCTTTGACTAAGTGCCATTGAATGGCTTTTCACTTCTTCTAATGTTACATTAAACTTTGCTTCCTTAAAATATTATGTTTTGCACCATTTGAACAGCAACCCATTTCCTTTACTTGATCCATAGCTTCTGACTGTGATAAAAGTTATTCTTAAGAGATAATGAACTTTCCCCCCAAAAAAAATTCTCAATAGAAGTTTTTATCCATGCAAAAATGAAGACTTTTCATGTAAAGCTGTTAGTGAAGTTCATCCAGACAGAATGTCACCAAACCTATAATTCCTTTTGAGGCATAATTAACTATTATTTAATTTCCTCATTTAATCTTAAGGAAAGGCAATCTATGATATATCAAAGTGCACATTTACTATTTTTTTCACACTGTTGCTGAAGAAGCTCTGGGTAGTGCTGGACAACCTTTCCTTCTGAAAACCTAATAAATAACTTTAATGTGTTTCTACTACAGTGGGAGATTAAAGATAACTACATTGAAGTATGACCTCTAATTTTTGGCCGAATACATATATAATGCGTTTTTGGTTTATGGTTAAATTATTAACTTCATAATGAAGGTGAAAAATAAATTAGAGTTGCTTTTTTTTCTTTTTTGCTGATCTTTATGCAGTACCTTAACTCTCAAAGCATAAATATTTTTTTCGCGTTACTGAGTGCATGAAAAATTAGAAGTTTCACTCTTTTCTTCAAGATGACATTGGTGCTCACATGAATGTTGGAAGAACTTACAAAAACTTAAACAAAACTAAAGAAGCTGAGAAATCATACATGATTGCTAAATCATTGATGCCACAGGTAATTAGTAACGTAATCACCGTGGGAGAGGGGGCGACTTTTTCAGACTGATATTCATGATACAATTTTCTTATTTATTGTTGAAGATATTTATTGTTGTAAACCTTATTATTAAAGCTTAAATCTCTTAATAAGATCATATCATATGCTGTTTAAAAATACTAACTTGGATATTCTTTGTTTAAAAAAAAGAAGTTACTTTTTTCTGGATTTATTTTTTCTTAAATTGAGGATACAAAAAAAAAAAAAAAGCAAATTAGAAACTATAAGTTTGTATTTCTAACCACAGTTGTTTTGATTTTCACATCTAGCCAATACATTAATGTTTAGGGTTCGAACTCATATAAGGGAAGGCTTAAATGCGATGTTAGAGTTGAAACAAGGCAGTTGAAGCAGCAACAACAAAAAGAACACTTTTGCTTCTACATGCTTTTATAAACATGTGCTCTGTCACTTTTACCATATGTTAGGTTGTATTTGTACCTAGCAACTGTTATGTATTTTATCTGTTCAGGAGAAAAAGGGGGAAATATTTTGGATCACGAATGAAGGCAACAACAGTTAAGGGCAAAATTAGACTTAGAGGAAAATCATCAGTCCCTTGAGCAGAGAACATGGCATTAAAATGTTTGCTGTGTGAAGACTTTAGTAAACAATACATCATTTAAATTGCCATAGCATTTTCGTATCTCATGAAAGTTTTTCATCTGCTGTATCAATGGCTGGTAAATCTTCCTTCCTTCCTTTCTCCCCTCCCCCCTGGGAAAAAATGTTCTGATGGAATATCAGCTTAGTCTTTAAGAGATAATCTTTGAGTGAGAACCTATTACAAGGTCTGATTGACTGTTAATGGCCATTTGCATGAGCCACATCACAAAGTAGCAGAGATCAATTAACTGATAATGTCTGTATCAAATTTAAGGTAATGTTGTATGTGCTTATAGAATTAAGGAGACATAGTGTGATGTTTGTATGATTTTTTTTTTTTTTTTTTTCTGGACTGAAGAGTCTGACAAATGATTCCCAGTGGTACCCTATAACAAATGAGGCACACTGAAGTGTTAGATCTCTACTGGTTGTTTTTCATGTTTTCATTCATTGGGACTTGGAAATATATTCTTTTTGACAGATTATTCCAGGTAAAAAATATGCAGCAAGAGTTGCTCCTAACCACCTGAATGTTTATATCAATCTTGCAAACTTAATTCGAGCAAATGAATCTCGCCTAGAAGAAGCAGATCAATTGTATCGACAAGCAATTAGTATGAGGCCAGATTTCAAGCAGGCTTACATCAGCAGGTAACTTTATTAACTTTAGAGATATGTATTCTTGAATATACTTCTGTTTTATTTACAGTGCTAGGAACAGTATTTAGTTTGAAAACATTTTCAATTTTGTATGAACAAAAAGAGAAGGTTTAGATTGGATGTAAGGAAAAAGTTGTTTGGATTTTTTTTTTTTTTTTTTTTTTTTTTTTTTATGATGAAGAAAGTGAAGCTCTGGAACCAGATATCCAGAGAGGTTGTGGATGTCCCATCCTTGGGGATATTCAAGGTCAGACTGAAGGGGGCTCTGAGTTGCCTGATTTAGCTGTAGCTGTCCCTGCTCATTGCGGGCGGCTTGAACTAAGTGATGCTTAAGGCTTGCTTCCAGTTCAAATGATTATATGATTCTCTAAGATGCCTTGATAGTAGCTGTTCCTTGGCCTGTACCGGGAGTCCTTGCTGACTTCTGTGTGGGGTTTTTTTGTTTTGTTTTGTTTGTTTGTTTGTTTTTTATTTTTTTTTCTTACTCACACATCTCCTGTATGCAAAATTCTGAGAGCTGTATGCTTTTGGAATGGTATATAAACAAAGTCTTGTTTTGCATTTTAAACAAAATAAAAAAAATAAAAAAAAATAATGTTTCACATCTACTTTCTGTAGGAAAACAAACTTTAAATAAAACTGTCAATTGTTTTTATACTTCTATCAATTAAACTTGCTGAAGGTTAAATTTGATTCTTTAACAGGGGAGAATTACTTTTAAAAATGAACAAGCCTCTGAAAGCTAAGGAAGCTTACCTTAGGGCTCTAGAACTGGACAGAACCAATGCAGACTTGTGGTACAACTTGGCAATTGTTTACATTGAACTGAAAGATCCAACAGAAGCCCTGAAGAATTTTAACCAAGCGCTAGAACTCAACCCAATGCATAAGCTGGCGTTGTTCAACTCAGCCCTGCTAATGCAGGAATCTGGTAAGTTAGTTGTCTCTTTAAGCAATTATTGTATCTTTGCATTTATAGGGTTTATTGAATTGATGTGTTTTTGGAAAGCAGTAGTATATGTAGTGTTATAGTAATAGTCATCTTTGTAATTTATTGGTAGCATGTGGAATATGCAAAGTACACCTATATTCTAATGGATTAACACCTTGAAAGCTATTTTACACTTAAACATCTTGTTAAGAATAGTGTTATACGAAACTCATCTTCAGAATTTTTCCTCTATAATCTTAAAAAAAAAACAAAAAAAAAAGTGAAATGTATAATACTAATGTTCTGAATTTGTTTTGCTTTCATCCGTTCCTCACTGACTAAGAAATCTAACTGATTTCCTTGGGTTTTAAATCTAACACTGGGAAATATTTTCATAGTTTTCTCTGCAGTATTTCTAATTATCAAGTTGGATATGTACAGCTGCTAGCTTAATGAGTAAATGTGTGGCTGTTGCCATAAAACAAAAAAAAAAAAAAAAGGCTGTTGAAAGTAATTAGCAAGTGATGAGTAAGGTTTGTTTCCCTTTTTCTTAGGGGTAATTTATCATCCTAACGAAATTATAGAATTGATTGGAGCTGATCCAAATGGATTATTCCTCATCTCTTTTCACATAGTAAGTTAGGCAGTACAAGAAACGCTTTGTTTCTTGTCTGAAATAATACATAGGCTTCAAATGAGCAGGAGTATTAGACATCTAGTTTTGCATTACTCCTACTGGTAGGTACAGAACTGTTTGAGGAGGTGGAAGACGATAGTTAAAATCAGCTTCCTATTCCCCCATCCTTCAGTAAGCCTGTGCCTGTAATTCCTTACTAAAATATGTTCATTGAAGTATTCACAAAAATAGCACAGACTACAAGCCAGAACTGCTGCTTTTATCTGACAGAAGGTTATTTTTAATTTTTTTAAATGTTTGATGTGAAATATACTCTATTTCCTGGCTGAATCTAACATCAGTGTATGTGATCTCTGTCAACTGTAGTTCTTTTCAATATGTGGTCAGGTGCTGGAATGGGCTGCCCAGAGAGGTGTTTGAGTCACTCTCCCTGGAGGTGTCCAAGAGACATTTAGATGTAGTACTGAGGGACATGGTTTAATGGGAAATATTCCTGGTTGGTGGACAATTAGACTGGATGATCTTTCCTAACCTTGGTGATTCTTTGATTCTGTGTCTTTAAGAAAATGATATTTATTCTAAGTTTGCCTCTGTTAAAAGTGATTTGCTAGAACTGACTTCTCTGCATTCCAGTTGCTCACTCATACATGAAAATAACCGCTGTTAATCTTGTAGAGACACCTTCTGTATCCGTTGCACTGAATCTAAGTATAATTTAACAGATAATAAGATAATGATGCTTACTTTGGCTACAAGTCTATTGTAAGTAGTTTTGTTCTGTAAAGAAGGTAACTGTCATTTACTTTCGCTGTTACACAACACAAATAAAAAGTAGTATTTTAAACCCTTTCCCTTTCATAGATGTTAGATTTTTATTTTGTGTAGAAATCAGCAATTTACAGGCCTGGCCTAAAAGTGTTTAGAATAAAACTTAAATGTATTTTCTGTCATTTAGGCAATGCTCAGCTTAGACCTGAGGCTAAACAAAGACTGTTAAATTATGTGAAAGAAGAACCACAGGATGCAAATGGTTACTTCAATTTGGGTATGCTGGCAATGGATGACAAAAAAGATACAGAAGCAGAGGCGTGGATGAAGAAAGCCATAAAGTTACAGCCAAATTTTCGAAGTGCTTTGTTCAATTTGGCACTGCTTTATTCTCAGACAGCAAAAGAATTGATGGCTTTGCCCATCCTGGAAGACTTACTGAAATACTACCCTGATCATACCAAAGGTCTAATTTTGAAAGGAGATATCCTTATGAACCAAAAGAAGGATATAGTTGGAGCAAAAAAGTGTTTTGAAAAAATTTTGGAACTGGATCCCAACAATGTGCAAGGGAAACATAATCTTTGTGTAGTTTACTTTGAAGAACGAGACTTAATAAAAGCAGAAAAATGTTTGGTGGAAACTCTAGCACTGGCACCTCATGAAGAGTATATTCAACGTCATCTAAACATAGTTAGAAGTAAAATTGCATCACTTAGTGCTCCGGAGCAGTCATCAGTTCCAGCAGGTGATACTGCCATTGCTGCTGCAGAAGAAAAAAAAAAATCATTTCAGAATTCAAAAGAAGTGAAAAATGAGCAGAAACCGTCCCAAACAACAGCTGGTAACATTAAAGGACATTCAAAAAATAAGAAACAAGCAGAGAAAAACATTATGGAAAAAAAAGAGACTCCCAAAAAATCTACAAAAGAAATCAAAGATATTGAGAAAAAGAGAGTTGCTGCTTTGAAAAGACTAGAAGAGATTGAACGTATATTAAATGGTGAATAGCCTTTATTATGTCACAATAGAGTATGGGGGTGTACTGTTTTTAATTGCTGTTTAATATATAAACCAACTGGAAGTGATTTCAGTATTTTGCAGGTAGAACAAAATGTTGACTATCACTTAACAAGAAGCAGAACTCGCAGTAATGTTTTATGCAACAAAACTACAACTTTTAAATACGAGGGGGGTGGATGGAGATTGAGGGATGATGGGCTGAGAACAATTTTAAATGCAGAATCTTAAAATTGAGAAAATGACTCAAAAATTATTTGTAAGCCAGGGATATTCAGGAACGCCACTTTAAAAGACTCAGCAGAAGAACTGAGTGGAGGACTAATGGGATAAGCCAGGCACTACTGCCATAAAAATGTGTTTGTATTAATGTTTTCTACATTTCCATTTGCACATCAGCAGTTTAAATTTTCTATACCTTTGTTCTACATAGAAAAGCATTTTTCTATGTGTTATTTCTTTCCAGAGCTGAGCAAAAAGTTAGTAAAATGCCACGGGCATGGTGTGTATCCATTAGACCATAGGACAATGCAGCAGCAACACTAAAATTTTCAGTTGTGTTTTAAATATGGAATGATACAATAATTGTATTTGTTCTTTACTTACTGCAAAGTTTTGTACGGTTTTACTTGATAACTCCTATGGTGCTCTTAAGATCTTTAGAGTCTACTTTTACTTTTAAAAAAAATGTGTGTTTTTTCTTCAACTATCAAACATCTAGTTGTTTGGGGTTTGGCTTTTTTTTTTTTTTTTAATAATATGCTTTTTTCCAAAAAAGAGGGTTTTTTGTTTGTTTTTTCCCTCAGTTCATTAAATACTGGCAAATGCACTTTTGGTAAGCAGTATGCTATGCAGTAGTTCTTGTGAACTGTGTTTCAATGACTGTGGATTGACTCCTTGGTGTAGGGAATTCTTTGTTTAGTATAATGGATTTACTGTTCATTGGACAGAATTTTTTGTCTCATGATTTTTTATGACACTAACTTAAGAATGATTGCTTAGAGCAATTTGATAATATTTAAACCACTGAATTTTGCAATGTTTAATGCAAGGAAATTTGGATAAGGTCCTTCCAAACACTAAGTTCTTCATTTTGATAATTTGTCATGAATGTGTGCTTTTTATTAAATATTTATTTTGACTACTAAAATAATTCCATTTACATTTTGCCACTAATACACCATTTTTATTTTCTACATGACATTAATTTTTTTTTGTAATTTCAGTGTTCCTTTTATCTTTGTGCAATGCATATTTTTTTTGTTCATATATATTGCCTATTACCAAAACCTGACGCTTTGTGTAACTATTGAGAAAGGAAAAGAGGAGATTGGTTCAGTAATAATTCAATCATTAAATCTAACTTTGCTCTTCATGTTCTGTCTTCTTTAATGATGTAGAATTATTCCTTAGCAACTGTACTGTTTAACCATAGTCCTTTCTGTAACTGCTCAGCTTTCTGCCTTTTGGCAGTAATCCAGCTGTATGTAAGATGTAGTGTTTATCTTTGTGGGAGGGTTCTTCAGTGTTTGAAGGCCTTGCAGGGACCTTGCCACTATAATGTATCGTTTGTAATGTTACTATAACAAGCTTGTTTAGTAATAACTAGGAAAAGAGTGTGGGTTTTTAAAACCATGATTTAAAAGTTGCAGATATAACTAGGTGGAGCCTTTCTTCATATACGAATCTTAAGTTTTTCCCATAGCACCAGAAGTCTATTGATAACACCTGGAAAATCACTGTTTTATTTTAAATTGTGAGTAACTTGGATACTAGTAGCTTTAATATTTGATATGTAGAGCTCTACTGGAATACAAAGTAGCGTATGAAGTCTGCCCTCCTTATCTTAGCTTTAGGAATGAATTAGTCATTGTTCTGGTTGATACAAAGGAAAATTCAATTGAAAGTAATTTTGAAAAGATACTTTCTGTTTGACCATGTGTGCAAAAATTTGGTCTGAACATTTAAGAGGAGAAAGGACACGTTCTCGGTTTTGGCATTTGAGTTTCTGTCAATTGGCTCTCATCTTGACCATCCAAGTACCTGCTCTTTAGGAACTAGCAAGAAGCATTAGATTCACTGACACTCAAAGGTGTCATCACGTTTAAGTGAATGAAATCAGAGTGACATAAACTAGAGAATGCTCATAGTAGGTCTTCTGATCTCTTAACAGGTACTGTATACCTTTTTGTTTTAGAGAAATTGTGGTAAAAACAAGTATTTTGTCAGTGTGCCAAGTTGGATTTAACCTGCTTAGGATGCATCAACCATTTTAAACTCATAGGAAAAATGTTACAGTAAAGTTAAGCTGCATAGCTTCTAAAAATAGTCAAATTATACATTCATTCATATTTGTTCTATTTTTTTAATGTATTGTTTTTACGAACTCTGTCAGGGGAAATTATTGGATATTATGAAGAATAGGAAATATCTTCTTATAAACAGGCAGAATTTCACAGATCGGCATCAAAAAGAACCAAGTGCAAGAGGAATTCTTTCCAGTGTGCAGTGCTGTTTGCACTTTGCTTAGGCAATACTGGAAGTAAAAAGGTGAGGATGGAAGTAAATATGCAGAAATATAGTAGTACATGGAAAGTTTAAGGAAACTTGCAAGGAAAGTTTTTTTAAAAAAAAAAAATGTGCTACTGAATCAACTGAATGCTGTAGGAATTTTTTATTTCTGCCATTGCAGAGACTTACTGTACCTTATTTTGAAACCTCACACAATTTCAGTGCATTTAAAAGGAAAATGATGCCCTGAAATCTTAGGGAAGTGTGAGTCTTGGCTTTAAGCTGTGAAATAATGCCTTTACAGCCTACAGCAACTCCTCATGCAGATCCTCATTCCCCACTGACCCTCTGGCATGAAGCAGACAGATTGAGAGATCCTCCTACTCTGAAGAAACAAGATTTTTCTGTGCCCATGGGATGCAAAAGATGCACATGTTTTTTGTTGTTCTAGAGCTGTGACTGTTGTGACCATGTTCCTCACAAATGGACAGATATTGCTGACAAAATTATGTTTGATTACTCGGTCTTTTCTTGTTCACTGAACTGAACTGGGGCTGTGGGATTCTGAGGCAACCTCACTCTTAATGCAAGTTCAGAACAAAGCACTGACCTGCTAGCAATACCACCTTTCTCACAGAAAATGATTTCAGTTGCAGAAGTTAAGTACTTCAAAAGCTGCTGAAGTGTTTTGGCACTATGCATGTAGGTTGTCTGGCACAGCATCTGAGTACATTTGCCTTCCTCTCATCCATAGAGCATTAAAAGACTAGAAGGCACAAATAACAGCTTTTCAGGTGCATTACTTCAGTCACCTTCTATGTCATGGTCAGATTAGGTTTTTGCACGATCAGACTGCATGTGCCTTGTAAAGCTGCCCACCCTGCAGCCAAGGTGCATCCAAGCTATGAACATGCAGGCTTGTGGCATTTGTTTCTTCTTGAAATTTCATTGAGGCTCAATGGAAATCAAAACAATTCTGGGAAGTCAGCACCCGCCCCAAGCTCTTGCAGGCTCTGCATCCCACAAAGGCACAAAAAGAAGTCCCAGTTTGGGCAAATGTACGTTGCTGGGACTTTTCACAGCAGAGGCTCTGATCCATCTCTGCCTGGCAGAATGTCTGGAACTGAAGTAGAACCTACTTCTAAGGACCTGTGTCAGACACGCCTAAGTTCAGTCTAGGAATCCTGCTTTGCTTAGGCAAAAAGCTTGAAAATGGAAAGGATGGAAGACGCCTCTCCTTCCATCTACTCTTCATCTCACTTCCTCTATTTACAAAATAGTAACACTCTTCGTGTAGGGTTTCAGCTGATCTGGAAGCATCTGCCCCACAAACCTCCACCCTAGCTTACAAAAAGGTAAGTAAACCTTTTCTCTTTGTGATCAAAATAGTGTAGCTTACTAGTTCACGTGCATTTCTATGCTACTTTTAAAGCAAAAGAAAAAAATAGTAAGTAAATACAACATTATAAAAGTGAATGGTAGTGAAGCTAGTGTTCAGAACTTAAATCCTCCTTTCTACAGTCTGATGTTAGTGCCAGTGGCTCTGCACACAGGACATATGTCTTTTGCTTCCAAACACAGTTATTTGTCTCAAAATTAAATAAATGCAAATAAGAAGGGAGAAAACCCACCACAGAACCTTCTGCATAATTCTTCCGGGATGGGAACAATGTAAACAGCTATTAATATAAAAATAATCTTTTTTTTCCCCTTTTCCGTATCTTAGTAAACAGTCTTATCTCAATCCCTGAGTTCTCCTTTGTTGGTTTTTTTTCTGTTCTCACCCACTGGGAAGGGGTTGGAATGAGTGAACCACTATGTGGTGCTGAGCCACCTGCTGGGTTAAACCACAACAGCCGTTGTAACTTCCTTGAGCTAAGAGCTTGAGAAAACTAAATTTAACTTTCCATAGTACAGTTTAATTCTTTAAAAGGTTACTAGAAAGAGAACTGGATGTTATAGTTATTAGGTACATCAGTCTGAGGAATCCTGTTTTTAAAACAAAACATTGCTATAATGTTTATAGACTCCAGCATAATGCAAGCAGGTTTCACCTGCTACATCTTTTCTAGTATAGAAAATAAATGAAAAGCATGCATAGATAAGTCTGTGTTCAGCTGGTGTTTTCAAACATGCTTACAGAACTGTCAGTGACTTGTACTACATGTCCACACAGAGACATTAATGTGCTTTGCAGTGAGTTCAGAAGTTACACACTTGTCTGGATGAGCTGTCTTTTCTTTTACTTTGAGATGTGGGTACAAAAAAATAAAGTGTGGGGGTGTGGGGCTTTGTGTGACAGACTACACCTTAAAAATGTGGAAAAATTTACATATGCTAATGAGTGAATGGGTGGCGGTGGCAAAAATTCTATTTACCAGTGACTTGGCAGTAGGGATAAACTGTTGTATTTTATATAGTTTGAAGGAGGATAAAGCATAAAAGCTTTATATGAAGTTGCAAATCCTCTGCATCTTTTCTGAGTTGCAGCTGTCACAAATGTGAAGTGTGATGGATGCTGGATAGAATAAAAGCGAGCATTAAAATGAAGGAAGTCATTCAGACTTCCTAACCTATTCAGAATATATCTTTGTTCCTTATGTGTAGTCACTAACATATTGTCTTTTCAAATACACGTAAAAAGATATTTTTAATTATATGTGTATTCGTGCACACACAATGTAAGTAGGTGGAGGAGGAAAATGCAACAATTACAGGATGTCTTACCAAAAGTAGGAGTCATAGTTTGATTTTTAAAATACCTTGAAATTTTTCTCACTTTTATTTGATTGGCAATTGCTAACCCAGTGCTATGTTTTGTTGTACGTGATCATCACTGCAGCACAGTGCTGTAGCACTAACTCACCAGTACCAAAAAAAAAAAAAAAAATTTGCAACAACTGATGCTCACAGGAAGTCAATTTTTACCTTTTCTCAGCCCTCAATTGAATAACAAAGGTTTACCTGGGTGTGCTGCATGTATCAACTACAGGAATATCAGAAATCAGCTGACTTCTTGCAAGATACAGCAGGTTTTCTGTAGATATTAAAATGTGTGCCTTCTCATTAGGAGCATGACAAAGGCAGCATGATTACATTGCACACAGTCCTGAGAGCTGTACAGAGAGGGGAGAAAGTGAGGGAAGCCAATCTGTAAGAAATGCTGAGTGTTACTGAAATCTAGTAATACAAAAGCCATGTAATAGCTGCTGTTCTCAGAAGTGGTTCAAAAGTACAGTGGTTTTTTTTTGTTTTGTTTTTTAAGGTTAAAAAAAGAACAAAGACAATAACTGATAAAAGAAGTTTAAAAAGACCTTCTGAACACCCTTTCTACTCTCCAGAACAATTTTCAGACACAAATACAATGCTGGCTTTTTTTCAGTTCTCTACATAAGCACTTAGAGTTTTGTAGAAAGAATAGTTGCAAACAAAACAAAGACAATAAAAGATGTGAGATGTTAATACTCAGGAAATTCAAATTCTCTGCAGAAACAGCAAAGGAAGCTGCATGGAGCAGTGTTTCTTCAGATGCATTTATATGAGAGGATTTGTATGAAGTTGGTGATGATTATCTGGATAAATCATACTGTATTCCTGCCCCTTACTTGACTGAATATAGTGTAAATATTTAGGCTTAAATTTACTTAGCTAGAGCCTTTCCTTCAGCTGTTTTTATGGATATTGCAACAGAACTGATTTGCTAGAATATCCATAAGAACAAACAAAAAGTTTTTTTTTTTGCAATAATCTCAATTTGATCAACATGCATGAATTGTAAATGCACATACGTAGGTCACTCCAAAAGTAGTGCCTCCTATTTATTTCCATAGAAACTACAACAAATACAAAGAACACAATAACACT